CTGAAGCTAAACAGGCGGTGTGAACAGGGAACAAGCTCTATCGTCTCTCACTCGTAGGTACAGGCGGCGAAGTGAGCTACACGGCCTCAATAGATCCATAACCCAACTTTACGGCCGGTGAGAATAGGGCCTCGAGCCCCTCCGCTTTTCACCCGTAAAAAAAACGGGTGGTGAAACGAGCTTCACGGCCCTATACTAGAGCTTCAACTTTAGCTTTACGGGCGGTGAACATGATACGAAAACGACACACCGTGAGGGGACCCAAAACTTCCTCCGCACTAATTACCTCTGTTAAAAGAGGAGGCTTAACAAAACACGAGCTGGGTATCATCTCGATACCTTCCAACTACCAGGCGATCGTTCAAAAACGAAACAAAGCCTCACACTAATGTCCCCACAAAGGAACAGATCAGCCGTACGTGGCAATCCCCTCACAAAAAGATGGGATATCACGCAAAAAGTCCGCCGTGCATGAGAAAATAAATTCCTCAAAATAAGTAAAGAATCCGGAGAAGAACGCTGTTGAAACAGCGAAAACGGAACACTACCACCAGCATTGCAGGCGAGAAAAAGTAACACAAAGATACTTCTCTAACAAACCCCTCGCGTCAAAGCCCAGACTCGAAAATCGACTCGGGTCCGAGGCCAGCTGCGAACCCTCCGAGACAACGGAGGCCGAGTCCCAGTCACACTGACAATCCAGAATGACCGAATCATACGGCTGAGCGAATAAAACCCCATTGAGGTAAACAACCCCTCACCAGGCAGAGCGCCGAGAGAGACGGGCGCCGGAGAAACAAAGTCTAACCGAGCGCCGACTGTAAGAGGCAAAGATTCTGAAGTCAGAATAGCGGCAAGACAAAGGCAGGCTCCGCTACACCACTAGCCGGAGCACGGAGGACGGAAAATACCGAACCTTATAACGTGCCGGGTGACAAATTATATATAGACATCAAGGTTTGTTCACCCGCCGATACAGTTGGGGCGCCCAGCTGACGGAACAACTGCAACATAAGAGCCCTGAGCTCTGCCTGCGCAAAACTCGACAAAGACGACACCGGCGTCGATTTCTTGCCTTCTTAGCCCGCGAACCAGCCAAAGCATGGACGCTGGAACTCTTCCGCCGCTTCTTAGCCGTAGCAACGGGGGACGAAGGGGACTTCTCGGCCTCGCTAGCTTTCTCAAGCATAGCTCCACGGTCAAATTGACTCGAGCCGTCTCTCTATATACACTGCTTCTATAGAAACGTGAGCGAGACAGCCTAAAGCCTAAGGCTGAGGTCAGAATACCAGTGAGTCAAACGACTCCTCTCCCGGAGACGCACCGAAAGAAGCGGGCGCAGTAGACACAAAGCCTAACGAAAAACCGACTGTATAGGGTGACAAAATCAACGCCACCGGAGGGACAAGAATTCGGGGAAAAAAAACGAATCTGAGGACAAAAAGCACGGCTCCGTCGAACAACACCAGCCGGGCACGGGTTACGGTAGGCACCGAACCACTAGCGTGCCGGGTGACAAATTTTTCGCCAATATTTGTGCACCTGCCAAGACAATAGCCCACAAACCCAGACAAAGCCTGGGCGCTCGGACCCTTCTGCCTCTTACCCGCTACAACGGGGGATAAAGGGAGGGCTTCCTGGTCTTGCTAGCTTTCATAAGCTCGGCAATACGGTCGATTGACCTGTGCCGTCTCGCTTCACTGCTTCTATAGAAACTTGAGCGACAACCCCTAACAAAGGAGGCATCTCGGCCGTGTTAGCTCGGCTTGGTCAATTGACCTGGGTCGTCACGCTTCACCGATTCCATAGAAACATGAGCGAAACCCCTACGGTATAGTGTAACCGGGACCCTGCACACAGCAATGCCTCGAGGGAAGCTTCAGTGAAACACCTTGCTCGGTGTGAATGGGGTCTGTTTGCTTCAACGCTTCGAGCGAGGCTTTAGCGAAATCCTTTGGTCAGTGTGACTGGGGTCTGCTCGCGTGAATGCTTCCTGGGAAGTTTCAGCGAGCTGCTCGAGCGTCAAGCTTCGTGAGAAGCCTCAGCGAGCTCAGACCGTGGCGTGTCACTGGGGTGATTATTACGGGCACCTCATATGTGAACGCAATCCGGGTCGACTTCACGCTTGAAAGCATGGCTCGTGCTATGCACGGCTGTTGCCTCGCAACAGAGCACAGGGACCGTGAAGCCCGGGGCCTCTACAAGTCGAACTCAACCACTAGGGGAAGAGCCGCTGGTAGGAGTCTCTTTAGTCAGTGACTTAAGCTATGGTCACAAATCAGAGCAGCGACCGACCGATCAGTAGCCTGCTCGGTCGCTGCTGGAATTTAGGCATCGCCCAGCGATTAGGTCGGTGCCCGGGCAGCGACCGCCCAGACACCGAGCGTATTTTGGGTGGCGAGTGAAAAGTGAGCAGGCGCCGCCCAAATTTTATCCCCGCGCTAAAACTTCAGCGGCGACCGAGCGATGCCCTAAAAACGAGCGGTGCCTGGGCGGCCGACGCCGGGCAGAATTGGTTAAAAACTCGCCGCTCGGCCGCCGAGCAGGCTACTTTTGGGTAATGTGACCATGGCATTAGAATCTCTAGACCTCGACATACTGGCGCCGGAGCACAACCCGCTGGCTGGACCGGACGCGGTATCCGTCGGTAACTTACCACAGGGCAAAACTCCAGACACACCAGGCATAAAAATACCCGGTGCGGGAGCAACCTGTCTCGAGCCTGTACTCGAGACGCCCTTACCTCCCCCCCCCCCCTCCTTCCGCACCAAACCCATTCGCTAGTGAGGTGGTGACAACAGCCGTAAATGGGGGAAGTGAATCCACTCCAAAACCAGACTCCTTGTCCTTTGGAAAATATGTGGATGAGACAAAACAAACTTTGGAACGAAAGCAAAATAACAATAAAACAAAGTAACCACAGTTACTAAAAACAAAAATCGACGAGCAACTAGCGTCAATCACAAACAAAACCGTGTCGTTTATAAACACACGAAAAACTCGAACGAAACAAAGCGTCGTTTATAAACACACGACAAACTCGTAACAAAACAACCCTAACGTAGCAAACAACTACGAAAGAGAAAAACGCATATTTAGCGTCAACAAAGAACTTAACACACAGCGAGCTCTAAAACAAAAAAACCGCACCGTATACACACACTTCAAAAACACACGAGGTATGCACAAATTAAGAAATCCCGTAACATTCGAGTTTAACACACGCAGTGAAAAAGCCCCGGAACACAAAACACTGTGCCCGGGACCGAACTCAAAAAAGGGAAGTTCGCTCGGCAAAATGAACACTAAATTCTTGCCCAGACTAAAGTGACTGAGGGTTAAAAAACCGAACCAAAATGTATCAAAACAAATTGGAACTGGATAATGACAGAAGGAAAGCACCAAAAACGCTGCGAGGAGCAAAAAACCCCAAATTCAGCGCTAGTGACTTATCTGCACTCCTTAACAAATGACCACGAAAAGAAGAGAGGAAGTTTACATGCTGGCGTTGTGCGAGCGTGACGGAAGGATATAGCGGGGTATTGGGGGTATGGACATCTGTGATTTTTTGTTTCGAATGACTGCTTTGTCTTGGAGAACTAAGCAATAATAGGTAGATACATATGATTTATTGTGGTAAATAGTCTAGTTTCTTTGATTGTTAATCAACCCCTATCCTGTGTATTTACAAGCAAAAGATTTTAGTTATCGGAATCGGGTCATATCCCCTTTTGAATGGTTTAAGATGCCATCACATTTATATACACTAAACTCATTATAATTTGACAAATAAAAGCTTTGCAATTATGTTCATTCTTTATGGGATGTCGTCTGCTTGGGCAGTATTGGTCCATATCGTCACCGTTTTCACGAAGTGGCCTCAGAGGCCAAAATCGTTGAAATTTCCAATTTCGAGTTTTGACCATTTTTTAGCAATGTATATAAATGTCTTCAACTTCAGAAATTTTCAAAGTCTAATCTTGCGTAATTACGTCATACGTGACGTCATGAAACGTATCATAAGCGGTACAACTGGCAAACACCGTTTTCACGAAGTGGCCTCTTGCGCGCAAATGTAGTCTGCTATTAATAATCGTTTTCAAAACCGGCTCCGCGAAGCCTTTGTCACAGATGCCGGTGCTTCTGGCGGAATTGTTAGAGGATTCTGACAGCCCTAGGTAATTATTTTCACTTATTTTAAAACTATGTTATGCATCATTCAATAATATCGTCTGTAGCAGTATAAATAAACTCCTATTCTGAACGGATATCAACCGAAATGGCGAGATAGGTCATTACAGTCCCACGCACTGTTTCCTGCGTGAGTTGTATTGTCGGGTCTAGTATGCAGATCTAGATCCAGTAGTACGTACTACGTAGTACTCGCCTACTACTACTAGTACTACCTATCAGCAGAGTGCTACTAAGTAATAAGTAACCCAGTGTCTTAGATAAGCTTGAACATGTATAAGTGCAGGAGCAGTTACATGCAGCAATGTCACAAGTCACAAGGCGAATTCGCTGAAGAGTGAAGCCCGGCCCAGCTAGGCCAGGGGTTCATCATTAATAATAATTTTACATTAACTATGTTAACTGATTAAGCAGTACCAGCGCAAGCCTCCAAGGCAAGGCCCAAGCCAAGGCCCCATTTTGGTTAAAATTCAATGCTAAATCATAAAATGGCAATTGCGACGTAGGAGTTGAGTCTAGGCTCGAGCCTAGAGTCTAGATCTAAAACTACGTAAGTACTTAGGTACTCCTAGTACTAGATTTAAATATTAAATGAGCCCCTCGTAAGCTCTTTCCATGTTCATGTTATAAATATGAGACTGAGACTTGATTAGTACAGCTAGGTCTGCTTGAATGAATAAACATGTTGAGCTTGCTAATAATTTAAAGGGAAATCCAACCATGAGAATTGAGATGAAGTGGCTTAATTTCAGCAAATGCAGAAAAATCAAGCAAACACATTTCATGTTTTTTCCCGGTTTACCAGTAGAATAGCCGGCTGAGAGGACTACTACTAGCACTTCCAGTGGCTGATGTCCAAGTAGGAGTTTGACGTGGAGAGCTTTTAGCATGTTGATAAGGTACTATTGGATATGGGGGGGGGGGGGGGGGGTCAACCTAGCATAGGTTGGAGCGGCTTCTCATACACTCTGCTTCATGCTCATAAACGCATGCCTGCTCTTAATTAATTTGCTTTAAAGACAAAGATAAATCTGAAGGTATGGGAAGACATCCACTACAAATTCCTCTCTCTTTATTGTGCACTTTCATTTTGCCACCAAGTTGTGGTTGAGCTACTTAAGGTGTACCTTCTGCCTTGGACTTACAGGATGGCAGGCTTTTTTTCGGAGGGGGGGGGGGTTATTTTGCTTATAATATTAATGGTAGCTTCTTGTATAGCGCACATGTCCATCACGTTGTGAGGGGGAGGGGTGGAGGGAAGTTAGCACTAATTTGTGATGTTTCATCAAAACAAAAATTTACCCAGCCATTTGATAGCATACTTAATTGTCGCATTTAAATTTTGCATGATAGATGATGATTATTTTAAGTGATGTGATTTTGAAATCTTTCCCTTTTAACCAAGCACCTTCACCCTCTACCCCTAGTAGGCCTACACGTGTGCAGCTAAATTTTACCCCCTTTTTAGTTTAAGTCACCAGATTTCTTTGCAGGGAAGTGGATCAGTCAAAATCATGTTTTAGTTTGAGCATCCACTCTCAATTTTCACAAAAAATTTGCTTGTGCCCGACAAGTAATCTCTTCTCATGTTTGCAAGACTGATACTTAATTATTCAAGGTCTCCCTAAATTGTGCTTGCTAATACGTTAAAGGGAAATCCAACCGTGAGATGAAGTGGCTTGTTTGAACAAATGCAGAAAAATTAAACAAATACATTTCATATTTGTTCATAGTTTACCAGTAGAATAGACAGCTGGGATACGCAAGAGATGAGGCACCACTAGTACCCCCAGTGGCTGATGTCCAATGAGGAGTTTGTGCAGCTGAAGTGAAGAGCTTTTAGCAAATTGACGAGGTATGTGTGGTGAGGAAATTAGCTCCAAAAAGAAAAAGTATAAATTGGGAGCCGGGTCAGGGAGGGGGAAGGGGGGGGGGGGAGGTCAATCTTTAGCAAACAAATGAACTATTTTCATTTACATAACAATGATCCACGGACAAAACTATGTTGTGCGCAAAGTGGTGGGGTGCTAGGAGGGCCCTTCAAAGATGACGGGGTTCCCATACATTCATATTTTTTTTCATAAATGCATGACTGATCTTGCTCTGAAAGGGAAGAGGCGGTTGATGGTATTAGAAGGCATCAAACACAAATTCCTAACTCTTTAATGTGCGTGACAGACATTCATTTTTGCCAACATGTCATGTTTGAGCTACTTATGGTGTATCTCATGAACGTACAGGATGACAGGCTCCATCTTTTATTTTGTATTTTTCTTATCGTCTTTTTTTCGTAGGGGGAATGGGTGAGGGAGGAGACTTAACACTAATTTGTGTTGTTTCATCACAGAAAAAAAAAATGCATTAACCTTATGCCTGTGATTTTTTTAAAGAGATGCAAATTTAAAATCATATCGTCCCAGTATAGCTTCCTGTACGAGTTATTTTGGGAGTTTTCTTCATCCATCATGAGTTATCAAATATATTCTCCTTTTAACCCAGCACGGTCACCCCCTGCCTCTGAACTGATTGCTTTTCCAATTCCACGGTTTGGAGGTCAGACCAAACGATTGACAGACCTAACGACTGAATAGCTAAGTCCCCTCAGTCATCAAAGGTAAGTTTTAACATAATTGGTTACATTTAGTATTCTTTTAGTATGAAATATTTTTATAATTTTGACCGGCTTTAATGGGAATATGAAACTATATTGCCCAAATATAATCATATTAGCCGGGTCAAAGATGAGGGCAATATGGTAATGTCAAGGGTAATATTGTCTCATATCAACCGAAATGTGAGCCAGTCAATGTTATTATTATTAATTAATGTATCACTTAAACATGTATCATGTACAAGTACCCAGATGTGAAACGTATGGTAATATGCTCTTATATTACCCGCTGCTACATCACGCGTGTCTATGTGTGATAAATGCACAATAAATAATAATTATATCATATTGACTGGGCTTGAGGGGTATATCAGAAATATTGACCAAGCTAAGATCATATTGCCCCGAGTCGGAAGAGGAAGAGGGCAATATGGCAATATGAATGATATTATACGCTTGACTAACTTTGAATATTGATCCTTATTGAGTGGTCTTTCTGAAATTCGATATAATACAGTTTCTTTCAAACTGGTAGACTAGTACATGCATTTACATTCATTGTTACTTACTGGGTTTATAACTTTCAACATAAATTTGCTGATATCTTCTTTAGATATGAACATATTATTTCAATGGTTGACAACAAACCCTGTAATACGTATGAAGCCCTGTGGAAAATGAAAAATCATATCAACTTCATTGGTTGATAAATACTGTATAGATGTCCTTTACAATTTGTTTTGCAAGCAAAACCTTTCAGTCTTCAAGAAAGAAAAAAATATTAAAAATGGAATACAATGGTACCATACAGACCATGGAGTATGCTGTCACAATTTTGTTTACAATTAACCAATCCTCCCAACCTCAAAGTGTTGAGCACAGGGAAGACATTCATATGTTTTGATAGGAGTTATTCCACTCTGATTTCCTACCAGGGATTTAGTGCCACAATGTCGCAAATTGCATTTCCAGTGAATAAATGGCGCAACAGTATTTATAAAGCAATGGCAAATCTACTTTTCTACTCGGTGGATGGTTTCCTTTTTTTCTGTTAATTGTAGACCTTAAATTCATATTCTGATTTTCATTTATAGTTACTGTTTATTTCAAAATATCAATTTAGGACAGAGTAAAACTACTTTTTATTTAACACCTATTTCTTGGTATCATTCCTGTTTTATGAAATAAAATGACTATGTCCTCTCTTCTTATCATTGAACTAAGTTATTGATAACTTGATTGTAACAATCTTTTGTCAATTACCTCGTAGGATGGACAAAAATACAGAAGTTATTGTTAGGTGGGATTGTTTGTTTGTTTGTTTTTATTTCCGAAATCCATATATACATACAAGTTTTTAAAAAACATACATATAAAACACATTTCAAACGATAAGAAAGTAAGTAAATGTGTAAAGTATAGACAAACGGTTGGATAGCCCATTTCAGAACCATTTTCAAAATGGTCCTGTTCTTCCATGGGGTCCAAAAGCAAAAATCATATTAATTTACATACAACATCAATTTTTATACAAATCAAAGTAATTTACCAATACACTACCCCCCCCCCCCCCACTCCCCCCCCCCCCCTTATCGTTCTCCCTAACCTCACCACCCCCGCCACCCTCTCGATACTGCCAACCTCTCCCGCTACCCCTTTCCAAGTCCTCCAGTGTATATTATCTCTGTCATAACATTTCATGTTTGTTTGTTTGTTTTTATTTCCGAAATCCATATATACATACAAGTTTAAAAAAAACATACATATAAAACACATTTCAAACGATAAGAAAGTAAGTAAATGTGTAAAGTATAGACAAACGGTTGGATAGCCCATTTCAGAACCATTTTCAAAATGGTCCTGTTCTTCCATGGGGTCCAAAAGCAAAAATCATATTAATTTACATACAACATCAATTTTTATACAATTCAAAGTAATTTACCAATACACTACCCCCCCCCCACTCCCCCCCCCCTTATCGTTCTCCCTAACCTCACCACCCCCGCCACCCTCTCGATACTGCCAACCCCTCCCGCTACCCCTTTCCAAGTCCTCCAGTGTATATTATCTCTGTCATAACATTTCAAACTAAACTTTGTATTTCTTTATTAAATATAGCCAAACTTCTTGATTGTCGAATGTGCATAGACAATCCATTATACAATTTACTTCCGCGATACAGAAACATACGCTTACAATTCTGTGTTTTCGGTTTAGGCAAAACTAAATTGGTACTTCTAAGGGCATAGTTAGTAGTCTTAACAATGAACTTCTCTTTCAAATATACAGGTGCCAAATCGTGAAATATTTTATACATCAAAGTATAACTGTGCCTAACTTGTCTCTTTTCTAACATTTCCCAATTTAAAATATTATGAATTTCACTGATTGGTTTATGTTCAGATAATTTATATTTAAGAATAATTCTACCTGCCCTGTTCTGTAATTTTTGTAACACGTCTACTTGAAACTTAGTGCCCGAATGCCATAACACGTCACCATAATCAAAATGTGGCATTATTGCGGCATTATACAAGTTTTAACCCAGTCTCATTAACATAGTTACGCAACCTTCCTAAGAAACTAATCATTTTTCCAACCTTTTTACATAATTCATCGGTGTGTACATTCCATTTTAATGATTAGACCTAAACCCCGATTGTTGTTTGGCCAACAAATTATTGTTCGACAAGAAACGGGTGAGTTGCCGCTGCACAACTCTTTCTAAAAGCTTCGACACACAAGGTAAAAGAGAAATCGGTCTATAATTATCAGGATTAGCTTTATCTCTCTTCTTACATAATGGAATTATCTTGCCTATTTTCCACCTAGTTGGAACCACACCTTCACTAATTGACCTATTTATTAGGTATGTGATGCTCCGAACGATTTCGGGCCCACACAGTTTCAAAACAAAGGTACTAATCCCGTCAACACCAGTAGACTTCTTATTTTTCAAAGCAAAAATTTCTTTAAGAACATCAGCTATATCAACAGGGGATAATTCAAAAGAATTCTCATAGCATACAGGCCTTTCTTCTAAAATAGGAACATAATTCATTTGTACATATACTAGCAGCTACATTGGCAAAGTGTTTATTAAATTCGTTTGCATTTTTTTAATTTTTACTATTCATACTATTAAAAGAATCTGTCGATTTATTAGGCAATAATAATTTTAAAATTTCCCAATAATTTTTACGACTATGGCAGTCACGTATTTTATCAGAATAATAGAGTTTCTTTGCTTTTTTAATTTCATATGTAACTGTATTCCTCATCTTTCTATAACTTTTCCAATCATCTTCATTTCTAGTTACTTTTGCTTTCTTCTTCATTTTATCACGTTGTTTCATCAAATCAAAAATAGAATCATTAAGCCATGGAGAGTGTTTTTGCTTCACCCTTTTAGTCTTAATTGGCATATGTTTATCTACAATACGCATTACACATTTTTCCCATTTATCGACAGCTTCATCAATAGTACGACTAGTTTCTACCTCTGTCCAATTCTGTAATCTGATATCGGTTTTAAATGAATCAAGATTAACATCTCTTGATTTCCGAAAAGTGATTAACTTTGCATGAGTGCACGTGTTGTTTGAATTCTGAACCTTCCAAGATAAAAAAAACTCAACGAGTGATCGCTGAAACCAATATCTATAACACCCCAAGAATCTACATTTTCTGGCTGATTGCACAACATGTGATCAAGAAGAGAGCTTGAATCTGACGTAACACGTGTACATCCCATAATATTAATTTGATGCAGGTCATGTATATCATTTAATTGACAATATTTTTTACATTCAGAACTTAGAGGCTCATGTAAAATATTCAAATTTATATCACCCATCAAAACAACAGATGAACGATTTTCTTCTAAAAAAGTAAGCATATCTTCATAAGTTGATAAGACTTCACATTTTGAATTTGGGGGTCTATACCAATTACAAAACAAAAGGGGTTTACATTTCTTTAATTCAATAAACAAAATGACAACTTCTAAATCTTTACTAGAGTCATGCAACACCTGCTTATAAGTAATACTTTCGTGGACATAAATTGCAACTCCACCTCCTTGCCTGTTACGGTCTTTACGGATCAAAAATTTTAATTTCTGTATCCTGAATACTATCGTCCAATCTCGTTTCATTGAGAGCAAAAACATGAATATTTTTTTTGCATAATATTGATTCAATTTCCTCAAAATGTTTTAATAGGCTTACGACATTCAATTGCGCACAATTAAAACCATTTTTATTTAACTGACCATATTCAAACGATTTATTTTTATACTTCTGTTGTTGTTTTTGAGTTGTTACTGTATCTTCATTTTGTATCGCCACATTTTAAAATGGCAACTGTTCCATCGTACATTTTTGACATTCCCAACCACAAAACTGTTCTAATGTATTTTCATACCGTTCATTTGACACACCACAACATAATATGTGTACCCATTTGTTGCACTTTGTACATTTGAGGCCTTTCTGGTTTACCATAACCGACTTACTACATAAAACACATGGAAATTTCCTAACCATCCTACTAAATTACAATAACAATAACAACAACACCAAAAATATCAAACAATTAAAATAACAACAATGTTCATGTAAGTCCGTCAAGTTCGCGTATCAATAATAAGACGGGCTTCCCTTGATAAGTCATTTTCATAATTTCCTGGCTTCTTCTATTGATGAAACTAGTTTTTTAATGTTCGTTCCAGAGTTGGATGCGAGTGTGACAAATATGCGCCCATCCTGCGACCATGCCGCCGTGACATTCGAAGACGATCTGGTTTGTTTGAGTATATCATAATTCGGTTTCGTAAGGTCTTCATTGATCGAAATACCTGTATTTTTGAGACGTCGTCGAGATTTCAGTATAGATTGGCGTACGCGGTAGGACGCCAATTTGATGATTATCGGTCTACCGCGGTTGTCTTGTCTGCGGCCGGACTCGGACACCTTGTGCGCCCATGATGTGGAAGCCGTAGACGTCGACGATGTCGGTGATGATGTGGTTGTCGAGGACGGCTGTTTCTGCGATGATGTTTGTGTAGAATGACGAATGTTGGCGTTGTTTTGATCTTTCCGGGGGGCCCCGATTCGATGGCTCCTCTCGATGTCTTCGATGCGGAGGTTGATGCCCAGCTTCTCCTTCGCTAATTGCAACATTATTTCGTCTGTGTTTTCTTCCCTTGATTCAGGCACACCAAATACCCTCAAGCAGCTTCTCCTCGAGTACTGCCCAGCCTCATTTGATTTGTTTTGGAGAATGGTAATCGATTCTCTCTGCTTTTCCAAACTTTTTTCCAATTTCTTAATTTTGGCAACTTTGGCGTCTTCTTCGATCTCGAGTGAAAGAATTTTCGCTTCATTCCGCTCTACCTGCTCCGTCAGTCTCGTAATCGACTCCTTTACTTCTTTCAACTCCTCTCTCATTGTAGATCTGACTGCATCCTTGATTAATTGAGTAAACTGATCACTCTCCAGTATTCCTTTAATAGTCAAGGATTTCTCAGTGACCGACTCAATGTCGATTGATGGAGTCTGTTTTTGATTTCTCGTTGACATGGTTTGTTTGCTGCGGGTCGCCATTTATAACTATAAACCAGTGTTTAATGTTCACTTGTGTTTACAAAATAGAGTAGTCAAGCATATACACAAGTTCAATGTCTCACCTAGTTTGTATCTTTAACATTCTTCAGAGTCTCCCAGTCGGAAATCAATCGTGATGGAGAGATCAATTGTGTCAAGAAACGAGATCTTCGATATAACGGAAGGCATAGGGTGGATTCAAGGGTTACTATGAGCTAGATGGATGAGGACTGGACGGGGACTGCAACGCTGACAGATGACTCTGACACTGAATGTGCCTCCATTTAGAGGTGTTGTGGTCTAGTGGATAAGTCGTTGGAGTGTGGATCACAGGATCCACAGTTCGAGTCCCGCCACAGCGCTAATGTCCTTTGGCAAGATATTAATCTACATTTGCCACTCTGCTGTGAGCGCTGAAATCGGCTGCCTAGCTGACAGTGACAACCTTCCTCTTGTCTCACTAAGAACAGCACAGACTAAGGTCATCCAACATATGAAAGTTGCATGTAAGAAGTTTTAATCCCATAAACTTACTGTGTTGTATGTAGTTTAGAAGGATTTGGCATATAGGACTAATATTAAATGCTAATAGTTCATATTTCAAAGGGCAATCCAACCTTTATTACAATCTGATATATGTTAAAGCAGAAAAAATGAGTTAAATAGACTGGTGAAAGTTTGAAAGAAATCAGACATAAAATAACAA